TACACACTAACCGTGGTTTGATATTTAGACTGGCTGGAGATTTAAGGTTTTTATCAACAAAAAAAAAAAAGGTCCGTGTAGTAAAAATAGTCACCGAAGCGGCCCGGCGGCTCAGAGGAGGCCTGTTCAGAAGCTGGAGAGGAAATTAGCTTTGTTGTCTACACACACGGAGGCAGCCAGCGCCGTTTCAGGATTCATCACACACCGTTTTATAGCTACACGCACTCGTATCGTGTTTTTATTTTTATGTCGGTCAGTTACCTGCCAAAGTGGCGGCACCTTCTTGTCAGACATTTATCAATCTCTGGCCTGCATTTAAAGAGCTCCGACGTCTGATTTTAATCAAACTAAACATGTTCCATCTATTTTTTTCTTCCTTTTTATTCATAAATTGCGTATCAGATGTTACGTAGCCCCTTAAGAAGAGCAGATCATGAAAGAGAACAAGTCACCTGAAAGCAACACCAAACGATGTGTGGAAAAAGTCCGTGGCCCAAATCGTCAACAGGTCTAACAATGTTTTTATGATTAATCTGACTAATAAATGGAGCGGAAAAAAAAGGTTATTTCTTTACTAGAAAATCAACAGATGGGGCAAAACCAAGACCCCATCCACACTAATTTGTATATATATAATTTTTTTTAATATCCAGGTGGAGGTGTTTTGGTGAGGAAAACTCTTAAATGTGCCTCTTCAAGTCTTTTCTTCAAAACTAGGGGTGCACCGATTGCAGTTTTCTGATCGATCACCGATATGTAAAAAGTCTGACCTGCCGATTCCAATTTAGTTTTAAAAGCCACACCGTCAGGTGTTCTATCACAATGCACCTTCAATTTTCCAGTATTATTTTATTGAAAAACATGCCCTTGAACAATATCCTAGAAACAATACAAACTGGTTTTAACTGGCCATGAGGTAGAGCTCTGAAATATAAATTAAGTTCAGACAATTGTTGTTAAAACAAAAAAAAAATGGTAAAATCCGTTTCTCATGCAAGTATCTGTCGATTTCCCAAAATTAAGCCGATTTATCAAAACTCCATTTTGGGAAAATTTAGCAGAACACAGTGCTTATGCCATTTATTAATTGTGTCGTAGAAACCACGAAAATGGAGTTCTTCCCACTATTTTCAGCGTCTGTTTGACTTGATCCTGACCCTGTCGTCATCGAGATTAAAATAAGAACCGTGTACTCGAGTTTAGAGTTTTGTTGTTGGTCTTCATTTCAAATCTTAAACAGTTATTGAGCGTCGAGGTTAGATCAACGGAAATAAACTTCACAAACACCTGACCGGTAGAGACGGACGTCAGGTGTTTCCTTCAGAAATTCTCCATACCATCTGCATAAAGACTCGCAAAGGGTTTGGAAGAACCTTTAATCCTAAAAGGTTCTTTATATTTTTGATACGTTGATCGGGTGAAGGTTCTCACCGCGGGCGCATCATGGATATATCAATGGTTTTGTTGGAATTGTAGAGATGAAGCTATAAGCTTGGAAGAAAACATCCTTTGACGAAATATCCAAAGTAGAGTGGACCAGAGAAAACACTGAAGAAGATGTAGTGTCTTGTACTGATACAGATATTTAGAATAATTAGATTGAGTATGTTACGACTGGTATTTGTGGGATTGTAAAATTTATTTAGGAAATTGTTGTTAGTGAAGCATTTTAGTTATTGTTTCTAATTTTTGTTCTAAAAGTATTAAAGTATACAGAGTTCGTATTGCAGAGGAAATCCAAGCCGATTTACCGAATGAACCGGTAAATCGCCCGGCGCTTGTGATTATGAAATGTGTGGTGACAGAACGGACGAGGAACTATTAGTAAAATGTGAAAATATCAGAAAACAATTTAGCCATTCCCCAACACTTCCAACATTGATCAACTTCCTTCAAACCTTCTGAAGAAGTAGATCCCAACCTTAATCTGAGTCGTACTTTTATTATTTAAGCTGTATTTAAGGTATGAAAAAAGCTTGTGTTTAAACATTAAACTGTTGTTGTCCTGTGAAGTATGTCTGAGCTGTAGAGCTTCAGAGGTTTGGTTTTGATCTACAGGGAAATATTAGTCTTTTTTATTTTTGTTTACATCATTCAACGTACTGTCATCAAAAGTCTCAACACATTATTTCCTATTGAGACGCACATTTAGACTTTTTTATTTATTTTTATGTAAGGTACTTCACAACACTGAGAAGCAAATTAAAATGAGATGAAAATCTAAAAATACCGGACGAATGCTAATAAGGACGTGTCACGGTTTATGGATTTTCCCCGTTAAATATGGTAGAGTTCGTGTTTAATGGTGGATTTACCTCCCGTGTTGAGTTGCACTTGAATCTGAGTTTGTTTCCCCGTTTTCTTTTGTTTACTGTTAATTCTTAAAAATCTGAATGGGATGAAGAAATACGTTGACTTAATCTTCTTGGAGATCTGGTTGTTTTTTGGTTCTGGCTGTTTGGTTTATCTTTAACAATGGTGTCTTTGTACAATAATGAGTTACACTTGTCCTTTGAGCTTTAGAAAAAGGGAAATAATCCCGTAAACTGAAACCCTCCAGAGTTGGGATTGTAGAACATGGCAGTATATTTGTTAATGAATTCACCAGAATAGATTAATTCTCTGTCAGACCATTTATTTCTTGATGTTTTTTAATAGCTCCCGGAGATTTAGGCCTTTTGTTCAAACACACAAAATGTTCACCAACGAGGAGAAAGGACATGAAAGTGTTTACGTTCATTTTGTGACACCATTTGTTTTTAGTTTATGGATCTATGCGGTGTAGGATTGTAGGCAGAGCAGATGTTGGTTTTTGTTTTGCTGCGAGCGCTCATGTCGTCTGATCAGGACCGTTAGCTTTGGTTGTTTTCTGCTGAAACAATTTAACGTGTTTTTTTTTTTTTAGCAACTTGTAAAAATATATTCTTTACTTTTATAATTCCAGTGATAAGAGTTAAAGGAGAGAAAAACAATCTGTTAACATTCATGCTGCTTTGTGTTGGTTATCATTGTTTCATTATATTTTGTTTTCGCCAAAAACCTCTTCAATTAAATAAACAAAAATCAACAAGAATAAAAGTTAACGTGCTTAAATATTTCAAATTTTTAAACTGACAGGTTCATCTTACCAATAACACATTTAGTTGATTTAACTTAATGATGTAATAATTGGTATGGTAAATAATGTAATAATAACAACATAAGAATGGTATGGTATTTATGGTATTTATGGTATTAATGGTATTTACTCTGGTATCGGATGCTGTGCAGCTGGAAGGATTTTGACTGAAACCTTTTTACTTTTGGACATTTGTTATGATGTGTAACCATGGCAACAAGGTGTTTTTTTAACAACAAGGAGCAGCTGCTTAACATCTCAAAAGCTCAAATATCTCATCTACGGCCCCAAATCCCACATGAGTTGAAAAGGAGGTGCCGTGGACAAATTCCCATCAACCTCGCAGCAGTGCTCGAGTACCTGACCACCGAGATCCTGGAGCTGGTGAGAAACTCAGCTCGTGAGGAGCTCTGCAGACTGCTAGGAGGAGTGACCATCACTCAGGGAGGAATTCTGTCCGGTATTCGGGCAATCCTGCTGCCCAGGAGGACCTAGAGGTCCGCCGGTTCTGACAGCAAGCTGGATCTGGGTGGACAGATGGTATCTGTGGCCAGATTCTTCGGCTTCACTGCAGGAGATCCTTCCTGCCCACAGCTATCAGCATCTATAACAACTCTTGAATGAAACCAGGATGATGAGCTACGACAACACTTCATTTCCCTCTAGGATTAATAAAGTATTTTTGAATTTGAATTTGAATAATAATAACCTGGTTCTTTTTACTTTAATTTACTTTAAGTGGCTTTCATAATTGGGTAGCCTTTGTTAATTTTTCTATGAGTCAGCAATGGTTAGTAAAACATCTCACGAACTGCTGAACGGATTTGAACAAAACTAATCATTGGACCTAGTGTACATCTTTTTTGTTGGGCTCAACTTGAAGAAAGATGGCTACCACAGCTAATTATCCTTAGCATGTACAAAACTGCCCATAACTGAGTCTGTTTTACAGCTAGCTCACTAGCGTCTGGTGTGGTAGTAGCTGAGAGCCATTCCTAACACCTGTGTTCAAAGCAGTGACAAAACTTACCAGTACTCTCACCATATTGAACAGTTGGCCAGTCAGATGAACTCCAATGCATATGTATATTAATTTTTACTTCATAAGCTGAAGGTAGATTTTCATTGACAATAAATAAATATTTGCCTGATAAGTCATCATTCTTAATGCTCCTAAAAGCTTCAGAAGAATTCCGTTTTGCTATTTGAAGTGGTTTTCTTAGCTAACACGTGGAAAGTTTGGAGCTCCATTCACTACCAGTCAAAGCAGAAAGGTCGCTCCCCCAAAAGAAGGCGGGATCACTCCCCCAAAAGAAGGCGGGGCTTAGGCAAAGGCTAAGTTCCATGATGTGTTTTTCTTCCATGTTAAACATCCACATCTTGTTTGACTAAGGTTTAAATTATGAACATATTTAATATTTACTTGGTTATGATCCTCTTCTCTGCACCGTCTGTTTTATGGTCTTTACTACTGCTGATCAGTTTCCCATCACTCACCCAGCTGAGCCTTCAATTGGCTTCTCGTGCTTAACAAGTAACCGATCATCGTTCGTCATGGGTCCCCACCTGATCCCCTACATTTGACACCATCAAAAGCACTTTTAACAGGTTATTACTTCCTGTTTTCAGCCAAAGTCTTACGGAGAGTGCGGTTTCTATGAAATGGTTGTAGATTATTTACTGACCTCGAGTATTAGCAGGTTCATGAAAAGTGGTTAGTAATGAAAATTCAGAAGTACCGGAGAGTACCAGCCCACTCGAGTACTGCCCAACACAACTACACACTAATTGGTTTGTTCAAACTTTTGGTGTTTTAAAGGTTAACAGTGAAAATGATCGTCTGCTAACGGTGTACTCTCGTTGTTTTGTTGTTGATCTTTAGGTAAAACGGAGAGGAGTTCATACTCGTACGGCAGAGAACCCAACGCTCACGGCCACCAGGTCAGTGCTTCTGTCGATCCTTTTATTAAACACAGCGGCTGGTTGGTTTGGTTTTACTCGTGGTTTTTCTGTGTGGAAGTGATTCTGCTGGAGGAAATACTGAGAATCTTAAGGAAGAGAGAATAAAGGTTACAAACTTTGGTTAATAAAGAAACTTGTTCAAACCTAATTCACATTTTCTTTGTGCAACTTTGTCTTTGGGCTGTATTTCCACTTCAAACAGAAACTATTAAATACTTTCACCGTTTTATGTGTCAATCATCGTGATGGCTACAATAAAAACATCTGTTTTACTTTGAAAGGTTTTCTAGACAACATGCCTGCCACTTATTTCCAACGTTATAAACCGAGTTATTAATAATTTTATTGGTGAGGTGAAAGCTTTGAGTCTGCTCTCGTGCTCGTGGACCATAAGCATTAATACTGAAGTGCTTGTTAATAATTAGGAACACGTACAGATGCTGAGGTTTGAGTTTGCTGTTGGAAAATGAAACGGAACGAGGTTTGATTGAGTTACTTTGATGACCACCAATTAAAATAAAAAAAACAGGAGATTACTTCCACTGCGAGCTGCTGGACATGTGGACTTTGATACGAATACATATCAAAGCTTATCAAAGCACCGCATTTCATCGAATTACAAATATAAGTTTTTCTGTTAGAAGTTCATGAAGACGTGAAATAAAGTCAACGGATTAAAAGTTTGAACTGAACGCTCGTAAATCAGCTGTTGAGTTCGGTGATTACCACCGGGTGTTTCTTACAACTATGCAGCTGTTTTGTTTTGGGTCGGTCCGGTTCTGGCTGCAGGAACTACCTTAAAGCAATAATTCAGATTTTTCTGGGATTATTGTTGTTGATATCTCCCCCCCCCCCCCCCCCCCCCAGGACTTTGTTTTGTTGTTTGAAGTGAATCAGAACCTGAAGTTGATTCTAAACAGAGACGTTGAGACGAGTCTACAGCTGCTCTGCTGCTTTACTTTATTATTATTATTATTATTATTATTATTATTGTTATTGTCAGTTTATTATTATTATTATTTTTATTAGTATTATTATTGTCAGTTTGTTATTATTATTATTATTATTGTCAGTTTGTTGTTGTTATTATTGTCAGTTTATTATTATTATTTTGTCAGTTTATTATTATTATTATTATTATTGTCAGTTTGTTATTATTATTATTATTACTGTCAGTTTGTTATTATTATTATTATTGTCAGTTTGTTATTATTATTATTATTATTATTATTGTCAGTTTGTTATTATTATTATTGTCAGTTTATTATTATTATTGTCAGTTTATTATTATTATTGTCAGTTT